TATGGGCAGCAATGAAAGGGTCTCTCTCTTGCCTCTTCATACACAATAATTTCATCAAATTCATCAAGAACAAGGGGCCAATTGTTATATTTTAAGAAAGAAGATCAAGCCATAGCAAGGAATTGAAGTTCAATTACATCAAGTTTTGAAGAATTCAACTTTGAACGTGAAGATCAACATCTTTTGTATTCTTTCATGATCCGAGTGATATTTTTCTATTATTTTTCTTGTAATTTATATATTAATATGCTATGCTAGTTTTTCATTGTATTGGATGAATGATGAATCCTATCGTTTGTTTATTTTAATTCAAGACAATTAATTTAGTAGTTCATGATTTTTTCTTGATTGGTTTTGCATTCCCATTGAACTATTTAATTGATTGATCACTAATTAGATAGTAAGTTGCTTGTTGTAGTGTAGGAATACTCACAATAAGTTTAGAACGCGGTAAAATCAACACATGGACAATAGGTGTTAGGAATAATATATATGGTATGTGCAATCATGTGTGATAAATCCCATAAGTCAATGCATGTTTTTCATATGAATTCGGACTAGGAATAAGATCGTGTCGTGTTAAACATAGGTTTAATATATTTTGGGAAAGAATATTGAATAAAAGTGGATTATCGATTGTCTTGAATGCATGAATTTACTAGATTATAAATTAAGAGTTGAATTAAATGGCAATCGGGGGATTCACGATTTCAATACAAATATTCACATATTAAATAAATATTTTATTTGCTTTCTTAGTTTAAGATTAGCATAGAAAACATACAAATCACGACTTTTTTGATTTTATATTACTTCGAATTTAGTAAAAGCTGCTTAACTAAATATTAGACCTTATTTCTCATAGGAATGATACTCTTAACTCACAAATTTTATTACTTGTATAACGATCCCGTACGCTTGCGGATTTCACACGAACTCTAACCGTAAGGTTAATTATGTACTTCACTACAACAAGAAGTAATTTAGAAGACAAACTGTATATGTTTGATTTCTGTCTTACTTGAGGCAAATTTATATGAGTCTAACAATATTATTAGGATGACACCTAGTTTCTATGCTTGGAAATAGCAGCAGATTTTGGCTTATGACAGAACTAATAATGTGGAAGTTGAGCAAGCATGTGGTTCCTTGCCTAATGGCATAACCGTTGAGGATGTTACACTTTTGAATAATAGTAAAAGAAGAAAAAAGTACATTAGAAAGCACAACAGAGCACTTGGCAAGTTGAGGAGAGAAAGTGAGCGCGCCAAGAGAGCTTTGAGCAATTAGCACGAGGCTTGACTAGAGATTTAGTCTCTCTTCGACGGCATTGATTTCTCCGAACCACTTACCAGAGCTCGTTTTGTAGAATCGAACAATGATTTGTCCAGAATGACAATGGGACTTGTTAAGAAAGCCATGAAAGATGCCGGTTTGGAAAAGCACCAGATTGAAGAAATTGTTCTTATTGGTGGAAGCACTAGAATTCCGAAGGTTCAACAACTTCTGAAGGATTATTTTGACGGGAAGGAACTGAACAAGCACATTAACCCAGACGAGGCAGTCGCTTATGGTGCTGCTGTACAAGGATGAATATTGAGCGGTGAGGGAGGCGACAAGACCAAAGGTATTTCTCTTTCGTTCAGTTGCTTATAAGTTTTAGGGGTTGAAATTCTTTTGATTAACCATTCTTTTATGTTATCAGATGTTCTTCTTTTGGATGTGGCTCCACTTACCCTTGGTATTGAAATCGTTGGCGATGTAATGACCAAACTGATTCCTTCCAACCAAAAGATCCTAAGTTTTCACCACTTACCAGGATAAACAAACTACTGTTACCATTGAGGTATTCATCTTGGAATCTCAATTCATTGAAGTGTGATCACTATAACGTATATTAATGCCGTCGAACAGGTATTTGAGAGCAAATGAAGTCTTACAAAAGACTACAGGCTGCTGGGGCCCTTCGATCTAACAGGAATAGCTCCGACCCAAAGGTTCATATGTGCCCATGCTCCTTCCTATATTTCTATTAAAGCTTGATTTCATTCGTCTTACTAAACAGATCTTGTTTGTTTGAACAGAGGAGCTCCTTAGATTGAAGTTACATTTGAAGTCGAAGTTTATGGCATTCTGAACGTCAAGGCTGAAGACAAGGCTAATGGACGATTTGAGAAGATCACAATCACAAATGAGAAAGGTCGCCTGAGTCAGGGAGAGATTGATCGTGTTAGATTTTATGCGCAATAATAAAGAGATGAAAAAAAAATCAACACAAGAATTTACGTGGTTCGGCGGTGTGCCTATGTCCACGAGAACGAAGCGGAGATAATTTTTATTTAGTAGTAAAAATAGGGTTACAACATATTATTCATACTAACCCTAGCCTAGGCCCATTCGATGTGCTCCGCTCCGACTTCAGCCTATTTAATCCAGAACCTGTGTTCCACTCTAATAAGCCACATGCACAACAGATCAGATGGTCAAGGAGGCTGAGGAGTTTGCCAAGGAAGACAAGAAGGTCAAAGAAAGAACTAATGCCCGCAACAGCCTCGAAACATACATTTACAACATGAAGAACCAAATAAACGACGAGGACAAGCTCGCTGACAAACTGGACTTGGATGAGAAGGATAGGATCGAGACAACAACTAAGGAGGCCCTTGAATGGTTGGACGACAATCAAAACGCTAAGAAGGAGGATTACAAGGATAAGATTAAAGAAGTCGAGGTTGCGTGCAATCCGATTATCACGGCTGTCTATCAAAGATCGGGTGGTGAGTCAGGTGGAATGTCCGGCTATGCCGATGATGACAATGATGAGCTGTAGAAGGGACGTTAGGCTTTTATTTTGTTTTCTAGAGATGTTAGTCATAGGATATGCAATTTTATTTTATTTTATTTCCTCAAAGGTGTGAGGGAAAGATGCAGCAGCATAATCTTTTAGCTTACTTCAATTTTGGATGATAAGTGTATAAACAGATATGTTAAACTCGAATTGTGTTTGGATTCCTAACAGTGAAATATCGGATTATCTTATTTGACACAAAACAAGTTGCTTTCGTTTCTTAAAAAGGAAAAAATTACTTATATTGAGAGTAAAGTGATAGTTAATTACAAAAAGTTTATCTCAATACAAATTTACTAGTAAGTAAACTTGGCTATTCATGTGTAAATTTTTTAAGCTCAACCAAACATGCTTAGGACTCTTCTAAAAAGACGAAATGAGCTTTTGAGAACTGAAAGTTGCTTCAGAATCCACTTGACTGCTTCCAATTGGTGACTTCTTCGAAAAGCACTTCTGAAATATGAAATACTTTTAAAAATAATTTTTTATACAAAAATTAATAAAACTTCCTCCAAAAGTTCTACAAAATGTAAAAGTAAAGGCAAAAGTCGTGCCAAATAAACCCTTAGTAAAGGTAAACAACCATAACTGCACTTTGAAACAAGAATTATTGCCAACTTGCAGGCTCCAATTCCATAGAACAAATTAATTTGACATCTTTTTCGTTTCTCCATGGGATTAATGAAAGTGGGAAACCATTTAACAAATATTACAAAACAAAAGATGTAGCAATAGCTGCCACTGAAAACAAGTTGAATTCAGGGCTTCCTTATAAGGGTCGGGTTTGTTCTCAAGAACAGATTGTACATGTAATCAGGAATTTGCATTAAGCAACAGATTACAGACACACGTTCTGCAATTTGCAGAACACAAGATTCATGATCAAATCTATAGAAATAACAAAAACATATTCATTCGGTTATATTTGCTTCACGCTGCATCCAAGGCCAGCTCGACTCACAAAGATCACCAGGCGAGTTGCCATCATTGTCCTTCATCTCCACATCAGCATTGCGCTTCACAAGCAACTCAGCTATGACAGCTCTCTCACAAAGAGCAGCATAATGCAGTGGTGTTTGACCTTCATTGTCCTTTAAACAGTAACAATGGTGAGTTAATAATTCGACAGAAGTGCCAATGAAGCATTAGAACAAAATAAGTAAAATTCCATGTATTTGCAAAGCTTATATTTCTTATAAGCTGGTCAAACTCTAATTTCATCCACACATTTCATTGGACCCACAACTTTTACCTACTTTTTAACCATGCAATCCTTGAGACCCACTACCTATGTGCACTTTTAGCCTTGCCTGAAGTCAAAATATACAAGAAACAAATGCTGCGGAACTTCTATACAGTTGTACTATGGATGCTGTAGAACTTCTATACACATATACAGTAAGGATGCTGCACAATTCTAATATTCACATCTGGCACTTAAAAGTTAATTCTTTGCAGTATCCATGACAACTGGTGTCAATATCCATCAATCTTCTAAGATGGAATGAATGACAATTAATAAATTGTTAATTAGAAGAATTTGGCCCATATGAATTTTAAACACAGGTAAATTTTAAAAGGAGAGAGAATCTTATTCAGGAGCTCCATTACACAAATCTTTTATCCATGCGCCCTAAGGCTCTGTAAACCAACACAAAACCTCCAATATCTGACTTCAGTCATGTTTTCAGGTTCTTTTATGCATTTCACAAAATAAAAAATCTTAATAATGTAAGAGTGCCTTTAAATTGTGTGTTTCAAATGGGTACTGAGATATTAATTGCAGTCAGTTCTCCAAAGTACAAAACAAAGAATTAACAAACTTCCATGAGGAAAGGGAGGGCACCACTGTGCAGTTTTTTTTCTTTCCCCCTTTTGGGTGATCTCTTATTTGCTTGATATTCAGCAAAAACCTCAGCAAGAATAAGTAAAACAAAGATTTTTTGTCTACCTTAGAATTAACGTCAGCACCTAATTTCCCCCCCCCCCCCCCCCCAAATTGCCAATATAGGTAGCACCTATGAAGCATTTAATACTGCTTCAGTCATTTTTTTCTTTTCCATCTTTTGTTTCTCCTTCTGTGAGAATTAAACCCTCTGAAGACTTTCTTTCAAATGCTTAAAACATCAAAATTACAATCAATATTACCAAGCTTTAATGCGTATGACATCAAACTATAGCAGCTAATTTAAGAATTTAATGTCCACTAACCCTTCAGATTCACAGGAATGCCGCTCTCTATACACTTAAGTAATTTCTCTTCATCTCCTTCTCGTGCAAATGCATGTATAACATCCAATTTTCTGCAAACAACAGATGAGGCGTTTGGAATTCAAAATTTTCTTCTCAAACCATGAGTTACAAGAGAAAATAAGCTATACGGACTTATTTTTCTATTCAATGCTATTCTTCTCCTTCAAGTAGAAAGGTGATGAAATCTATAATTATATCTGATACCCCTTTATTCAGAGAATGAAAAAGAAAGCTTTCCTAGTTAAACCATTTAAAGGGTGGAGTTAAGGAGAAGGAGTGCAAGAAGAGAAACAAGGAAGGATTCTCAGTTTCATTGCCAATGACATCCACAATTTACAGAAGGAAAATCTGCAGCCTTTGTGTCACAACATTCACACATAAAGCATGGGCACATAATCAATCATTCCTAACATTTAGGTCTGCAAACTTTCATTTCAGCTGCACGTTGCTCTCCACAGTGAATAAGAAATATCATTAGATTTCCCGTTAAACATTTAATTTCCTTGCACTTGGTAACTTACTTGAAGGTTATTTTTTTCCACCGACTACGATGGACACATTTTTCTCAAACAGAAAAGATATAATGAGCTTAGCTTATAGCTGAACACGTGAGTGGTGACATACATCTTCCTTTTCTAGAGAGAAATGGGTCCATAATGATGGTGGAAGAATAAAAACCTCAAATAAGTCATCACGTGAAAGGCAATTGACTACTTGACAGAAATAAATGACAGTTACTATTTGGTGGTGACCAACGTGCACTGAAAATAAAAGTTTGGTGACTTAAGAAGAAAAAAAGATGATTGAGGAGTTGTGCTTTAGTTGTGAAAGTTGGGGGACCAGAACCACATATTTTCAGTAACAAAAAACAACACGTTCAAAGCATCAATATTGAAGCTCATTCAGCCCACATTTATAAGCCCGGTTTCCACTATATTTCTATTAACAATCATGATTTTATAAAGCTACGAAAAGTTACATGAATGACCCAAGTAATAATATACTTGCAGAACTATAAATCGACCAAATCGCTATGTTTATACATACAAGATTGATCATTCAGAAAGGTCAAGTTGCACAAAGAAAGCCACTCACAAAACAAATCACGATGCAAACACACTATCTCCCTCTCCCCCTCCCCCTCAACCTCCAGGCTGAAAGAGGAAAAAAACATAAATCTATTGTGTAAATGTTTTTCTCCTTGAGGGCACGTTGAAAATTATTGGTGAAAGGGGGAGAAAATGTTAACATAAAATATGACTGTAGAATTCAATGATGCAGCCCTTGGCGCCTATGCAACCATAGATGATGGAAAAAAGTGATCACTCTTCAAAAGAAACACAAATTGTTGTAACGTGGGACTTCAAACATATAACAGAAGTTCAAGATCCTTACGATTCAATTTCAGGCTCCTCCTCATGCACAAAACTGCTAAAAACAGGTCCCATTGGCCCTTTGGAGCCAGCATTTGGAGGATCACTGGCTTCTTTATATTTCCTTTTCTGTTATCAGTTCGTGGCAAATTAAGGATAGCTGTTTATTAAAACTAGTGCAACTATATAAAAGAATTGATAAATAGCAAATGATGCAATTGAAATAACAAGATTCTGATCTCACAGTAGCTGCACCAGTAGCCCAGGTGGGATACAACTCAGTAACAATGTCAATGTACTTTTGCATGGCTTCTTCTGGAGGCATGGTACCCAATTTCTGCCATGCTTGCCTAACATATCAACGAAATAAATATTTCCACTAGTCAGACCGGAAAATGTTCAGTCTGATGACATTAATGTTCATCATAATTCATAAGTTAAGGATAGGCAAATAAGCCATAAAACACGTGTCAAAGAAATATATAATAACCAATTTATAAACAGTGCAACCTTATTTATAGCTATGATAGTCACAAGTAGAAAGAAACAAACTGCAGCCTAAATAACCAGTGCAACCTCATCCCATCAGTTCCACCAAGTTTTCTTGCGCCATATATCAAATATGAAATGTGATAACATCACAGATTCACAATTCAGCTGTCAAATCACGATATTTTCCATTATTAATAGCCTGTTCAATTTAAAATAAATTTATGTATTATGGTTCCAAATTCAAATCCTAACCTCCCATCATTTTTCCCCAAAAAAAAAAAAAAAAAAAAAAAAAAAACAAAAA